TATATATATATATATATATATGTATGTATGTATATATGTATATATATATTGATATGGAATATATATCATATTAATTTCTAGAAGGATATGTATTTTATACTTCGTTTTATAGAAGAGCCAAAAAGAACTAAGGTACTGGGTAATAGCTCACACCAACCAGGGTTCTAAGAGCTCTGAACATAACGAGTGTTACCTTGCTTAGGTGGTAAGGTCAGACAACATAGTAGCCTGAGGCCATCTGTCATCTGCCGACCTCACCTAGTTAACGGTGGCTTGTGTCCTCATACAATGGCACTTGTTACTTGGGTCATATAAGGTTTTAGTGGCCAAAAGGCACCAAGGATGTTGTTGATAAATTCACAAGCCTCCTAATAATTTTATGTACCATTCAGCAAGTCTAAATTTATATCCATCAAAGATCTTAATAAAAAGAGATGACTCAATAAATCCAATCCAATTTCCAAATCCAAATTTCCACAAATTTCCAAAAATGTTATAGGCCTATGCTTCTTTAATAAGTACACTTTTAGCAGGGAATTAGTAAAAGCAAAGTTAAGCAGATTTAAAATTTTAAAATCAAACTTAAATCTTTTATAAAAATGCTAACTCATTCTAAGGCTGACTAGTAAGGAGAAGCTTTGGATCTCTTTGGGGAGCAGACAGACTTGTACTGCAGAAGGAATCAATGCTTGCAGATGATAAAGTTTCTTGGGTAAGGGATTCGTTCAACTGATGAAGCTACTCGGCTTAGTGGCAGCACTCCTATGTATAGGGCGGTATCCCTACTGCACAGCTCATGTCTTTCATGTCATTCTACGTATGATGAGGAAAAAACAGACGCATAATGTTACGAGAATGAACCAAAAAATTCTGTAGAGTGGGAGAATAGAGATAGAATGATGAAAAAGGGTCCCTATGTCCTGCAGCATTCCTCATGTTTACATTGTTCTTCCAGAAAAAAAAAACACTTACAATGTTCTCATATGCTTCACCCCTGTAGTACTGACTGTGGTAAAATAAATTCTAAAATCTACACTGAGAACAAAGAAAAGGCTTAATATGTCTTATGAGGAAAGATGCATCAATATTGCCTTTGTTGAAAACTTTTCAGAAAAAGGATGACAGATTTTTTTGAATGTTTTTGTTGTCTTCTTTCTTCCCCAGTCTTATGTCTTGTCGTTTGCTCTTATCCTTAGTAGAAGAGACCAAATAGAGAACAGGATATGAGGGCATTCAAGTTGAAAATGGCGTGAGCAGTATCAAGTGTAGGGATATCAAATTTTTTGCTGATGTTTGGATACATCAAAATGTCCTTAAGTTCAAACACAAAAATCCAAAACAAAATATGTGTGTACTGATCCATCATAATTCAGTTTTGAATTGGGTCAAATGTAAAATGTTCAGTACCCAGTCCTGATGCTACCTCTGTTGCACATTTTTCCACTCGTTGCTTACATATTTTACTCTCATCTGACATAGCAGCGCACAAGGCACTTTTGTAGCAGGTGTTGTGTCATTGAGGCCTGGTCGATAAATAGACGCTTCAGGAAGAAAAACACTTGACTGTTAACAGGAAAAAAAGAAAAAATCACAGAAACTAACAATACAGGCAAAGTTTCTTGACTGCAGAAGGTAGTTAGGATACTTTTTTGTCAAAACATTGCCTTATTAAATGATTGGTTGATGGCATTTTCATCTGGAAAACAGGTCCTTAAGCAGACATTTTTACAGAATGCAAATTTGCTCTGCTTATTTTGACTGAGCCTCAACAGCGTCGCAATCCCTCTTAAGCTTCTTGTTGACCGCATCTGCCAGCCTTGTGTACACAATTGGCTCCTCAGCTATTCAGGCTGCATTGTTAATGTTTGGCCTTTTGTGCGGCTCAGTTCCAGTGGACAGAAAACATCACATGTGCAAAATTATTCCACAACTCAGATAATTAGCTATAGAAACAAATCCGCCTGTGAATCGCAATGTGCCTCAGTAACATTAGAATTTTGTCAGTATCGCAAAAGGAAAGGATTTGAATGCCAAGAGAAATTAGCTTATTGAATAATGCTTGGAAATGTGCACTGAATGAAATGAGTCAATCATTCTAATGTGGGATGGAAGCCCTGGGGGGAATAAATAAGCAATAGTCACATCATGCAGTGAGAACAAATGAGCATGGTACACAATTAGGCAGGGTCACATTCTGCCAGAGCTGTGAGCGTGGGATGAGCTAATGAGCTGTGTGAGGGAGTCTGTCGGTTTGTGCGAACTTACAGGAAGATAAACAGGAAGCACCAGAGAAAAAAAGGGGGATCCACAGCCCTGAATAAGCGGATATACAAACCAAGACATCCAGACACACAAGCTGTAAGTCAGGCAGGACACAAAGACAAAAGTCAGAGGAGCTGGTGCGGAGGAGGTGGGCTAAAAGTCGACTTGCCATCTGGGGCAAGCAAACATGCAGACAGACAGATCAGCTGACAGGTATAGCAGCCAAGCAGACAAAAAGACAAGCAGCGCCTCAGAAGGACGGCGGCACAAAGCTTTCAAAAGCGACTTATAGTTATTAACTATTCAATCACATAAAGGAGAGCTGAAGGCGTGAAAGGTTGCGGACCGAAGCACTTTTGCTTCAGTGCATTAAGAGCCTGGTCCGGCACTCGGGGGTGCGTGAAAGAGAAATGGATTGCCTCCCAGGAAGATGACTGCTCAA